CGATCCCCCGCCTGCCCCGACCCCCCGGGCACGGACAGGGCCCCCTCACTGCCGGGGCAGGGGGAGCAGCTGCCAGTCGCTATTTTAGGAGAGGAGATTAAGATGCCTTTGCTTTTGCCGCTCGTTAGCTTATTATTTAAATGCATTCACCACAGCCGCTCGTAGTCCCCTCTCTGGGCAGCAGTGCTGGGGTGCCCTGCCTGCACTCCTGCCTGCACCCCACACTGGGCAGGGGAGCCTGTGGCCCTCCTGCACCCCCTGAACACAGGGCGAGGGGCTGGGGGCACTTGGCTTGGTTTTGATCATTTTAGATGTGAATGGTATTAAAAAAATAACAATTGTGACACCGGCCTGAGCGCGCTGTCATTTTTCTTGGTGGGATCAGGGGGGGCATGGCCCTGTCGGGTCCTAGGGAAAAGGGAATTTGGGATTTGCAGCTGAGCCCCGCTGCTGGGGGGGGGAGTGGGAAGGGAGAGGGGAGCAGCCGAGCGTGGGCACAGCGGGAGCAGCTGCCCTGACCCAGCTGCGAAATTTGGCAAGCACAGAGCTGCTGGGGGGCCCTGAGGGATGCGAGCAGCCCCTGCGCCCACGTCCTTCCTGCTCCTGTCCGTGTATGCCAGGGCAGCAGCCCTCGGCACCAGAGCCCTGCACCCTGGACATCCCAGGGCTCCTCGTGCCACCAGGCCGTCCCCTGGCAGCGGATCCTGGTGTCCCATGAAGCCAGTGCGGCTGAGATGTTTCCTGCTGCAGGGACCCAAAGCCAGCGCTGGGCACGGAGCAGCCTGCCATCCCCATCCCTGGCCCCACGCTGCACCCAGGTCCAGGTCCTGCTCCAACCATCACTGCCCCTGCCCCTGTCTCGGGTCAAACCCCCTGCACCGGCCCTGCCGTGCGCCCCTCGCTTGGCCACGAGTCCCCACCACAAGGAAGGACCTGGCTGCCTTCCCCCCCCAGGCTGGGTCCCTGCCAGGCTTTTATCTCGCGCTCCCCAGCAAATCCCTGTCCAAACAATACGGATTTCTGACATTTTTTTGCGGTAAAGTAAACTCCCAGCACATCTCTAATTCCAGGGCTTTGTTGTGCTTCAGCGGGGGGCTGCTGTGGCTCCACGCTGCACCAGGCTGGGCTGTGGGATGCCCCCACGCTTCCCCGGGGAGAAAACACAGAGATGGGGGCAATCAAACCCACTAGGGCAGGGGGCAGCATTGCCAAATTGCAGCTATGGGGGCTTCTGCAAAGGCACTCCTCTGAGAGCGTGCCCCTCAGTGCTGCTAACACCCTGATAACGAGAAGCTTTATTCATGCCCACATGACAGACATCTCATGAAATAAGTTTTCCCCTTGATGGCTGACGGGCCTGGCCCCCAAAACCTGTGGCTGCAGGCACCAGACTGGGGGGTGATGCAGGATGTTGGGGGGTGATGCAGCGTGGCAGGTGTGCACGGGGCATGGGAGCTCCAGCCCAGCAGTCCTTTGTCAGCTGCTTCTGCTCCTGGTCTTTGGTCCCAGGTTCTGCTCTTGGTCCCAGTCCCAGTCAGGCTGGGGAGGATGGGGGTCTCTGAGCAGGATGTGGTGGGATGTGTGGGTGGGGGCAGGATGGGCTCCTGCTGCGCTGGGCGCTGCTGACTTCCAGACATTCCTCCTGTGCGTGGCCGGCACCACCTCGGCTTGTAACATGATTAAAAGATTAAAATCTCTCAGTTCAGCAGCGAGCAGCAAATGAAGCTTGAGACAGGGATGCTGAGGGGCTGCAGTGCCCGAGGCCCCCGTGACAGCACTGCAGCACCCAGGGAAGGGCAGCTGAGGCCAACAGGGAGAGTGGCCGGCGGCGCCGCAC